TGTGTCCTCACGCAAATTTCTTTCTTTCTCTGGGTTGCTCTGTGGAATGAGGAATTGGATTAGGGAACACCGGTCTCCCTTGAGACTTGGAATCTGTTCAGCTTTCCCAGCTGGGCCCTGCTTTGCCAGTTGGCTCTGAAGAGAGGCCTGGGCCGCCTTAGATCCTGCTGCGGCCCTGAAGCGTCCAGCTCCCCCTGAGGTCACCACATGTCAGCACTGCTGTGGGCTCACTCGGCTTCCAGGGGCGGCCTCGGGTGCCTGGCGGACTGTGGCCAGGGCTCTCTGGAAGGGAGGTTATGCGCTCTGCAGGAAGAGCAGCTGTGGGAGGGAGCAGCAGGAAGGCAGAGTCCGCGGCTGGCCCTGTGAGGGGCTCAAGTGCAGCACCACTTACAGGCCCACAAGGGTAGACCTGGCGTGTTCTTGGGGAGAGGCAGGCAAGGAGCGGGGACTTCGAAGGCAGGCGGTAAGGATTGGAGTCCTGCTTCGGCCTCTTTAACAGCAGAGCCAACTTCTACAGTTTCTCCAAGGCCTCCCTGTCCCCCAGCTGTTTGGATGCCAGGATCAAGCTTGGGGTCAGGTGCAGTGTGTGTCTGGTGTGGGGTGGATGGGTGAGGGGCTTACCCAGGCTTTACCCCCCGGGTATGAGATCTGTGGCTGCCCAGAGCTCCGCGTGGGGTGGAGAGAACGCAGGCCAAAGAGGAAGTGGCAGGTTACTTGTGATCTTTCTTTCCTATCCATTTCCCAAGTTTCCTTCTGTTTTTGATCTCCATGCTGATCAGAGAACACATCATGGTTCTAAGCCCTTCGAATCGATTGAGACTCGTTTTACGGCTTACTTCAGGACCCGTGCCGGAGAATGTTGGGCGTGCTGTCGAGGCGAGTGTTTTCCGTCGCTGGCGGAGCGTTCTGCAGATGTTTTAGGTCTGGGCTTTGCAGAGTTCAATTCTTCCAGGCCCCGTGGACCCCCTGTTGAGTTGTGCTGTCTACCAGCAAAGTAGAGGGCTGATGCCTGTGGCTGTTCCTCTTGTGTTGTCTCTTGTTGTCTTCCATGCGGGCAGTTTCTGCTGCATGTGTTCCGGGGCTCTGTTGTTGGGTACATGCAGAGGGGCAGCTGTTAGAACCCTCCCCCCACCCAGACACGGACACTTGTATTGTTATAAAATGTGCTTTTTGGGCTCTAGTAACAATTTTGTGTCTTAAAGTCTTTTGCATCCGCTATGAGCCTGGTCATACTCTGGAGTCTAGTAACTTCTCTTTTGGTTACTGTTTGTATGATGCCTCTTTTCCTATACTTTTTTTTTTTTTTTTTTTGACAGGCAGAGTTAGACAGTGAAAGAGAGAGAGAGAGAGAGAAAGGTCTTCCTTTTCCATTGGTTCACCCCCCCCCAAAATGGCTGCTATGCCCGGCGCGCTGCGCCAATCCAGAGCCAGGTGCTTCCTCCTGGTCTCCCATGCGGGTGCAGGGTCCAAACACTTGGGCCATCCTCCACTGCCTTCCCGGGCCACAGCAGAGAGCTGGACTGAAGAGGAGCAACTGGGGCAGAATTCAGTGCCCCAACCGGGACTAGAACCTGGGGTGCTGGCACCCCAGGTGGAGGATTAGCCTAGTGAGCCACGGCACCGTCCTTCGTATACTTTCAACCTCTGTATGTCTCTGAGCGTGAAGCCTGTCTAGTAAACTCATATAATTGGGTTGTGTTTTTCAAAAATTCCACTCAGCCGGCCTCTGCCTTTTCATTGGAGGGGTTAATACATTTACATTTAAAGTGGCTGTTATTGGCAAGGTAGGGTTTATGTCTGCCATCCTGCTGTATGGTTTTTATTTTTATATTTTTTCCAAAGATTTATTTTATTCATTTGAAAGACAGAGTTACAGAGAGAGGTAGAGACAGAGAGGTCTTCCATTTGCTGGTTCACTCCCCAGATGGCTGCAACGGCCGGAGGTGCGCCAATCCAAAGCCAGGAGCCAGGAACTTCTTCCAGTCTCCCACGGGGGTACAGGGACCCAAGGGCTTGGGCCATCTTCTGCTTTCCCAGGTCATAGCAGAGAGCTGGATCAGAAGAGGAGCAGCCGGGGATAGAACCGGCACCCATATGGGATGCCGGCACTTCAGGCCAGGGCTTTAACCCGCTGTGCCACAGTGCCGGCCCCATTGCTGTATGGTTTTTATATGTCTTATGTTGTCCCTCTGTTCTTTCCTTTTGTGTTAAGCAGGTATTTTTGAATATGACATTCCTGGCCTGTGAAATGACACGAGAATAAGGGTTAAATGAGATACCTAGCAGATCGTCTGCACTCATTAAACCTGGGCGCTCAACTGGGCCACAGGCACGAGAGGCATTGCCAGCTCTAGGACTGGTCAAGAGCAAAGTCCCCCCGGGGCTCTGGAGGCCCTTTCAGGTCTCCTGGGCAGGGCACTGTGGGGTGCAGTGTGAGGCCTGGGGGACTTGGCCACCCTAGACCCTGTCCCTCCATCACCACCTGGGCGGCTTATGAACCCTTGCTGATCCCCTATCCTGCTCCCCAGCCCTCAGCCACACCCCTGCCCCAGTGTGCACCCAGTGAAAATTGAGAATCACTGCTCATCACTGAGACAAACTGCAGAGCGTTGCAGAGAGAGAGAGAGAGAGAGAGAGAGAAAGAAGGGGGGGGGGGTTTGGAGTTGGCAGGCTTGGATTTGGATTCTGGCCCCTCACTCCTGAGCTCTGTGATCTGGGACAAGTTCCTGCCGAGAGCCAAGCTCTCCTCTCTCAGTTGGGAATGTGTGGTTATACGAGTAAGCAGCAGTCACGCACCCAGGGCCCGCAGTGGGTGCTGGTGGCTGTTGCCCCAGGCTGCGGGAGCTCATGACAGCGAGGTTTCTTTGGTTCCTCGATGCAGTCTGCGTCCCCACTCCCCACCCGAGACAGGCACCAGGGAGCAGTGCTCAGCTGCTGGAGCAGACACCTAACGCTCTGACAGCCACTGGGGCCCACTGCCTCCAGGCCTTGCTGCTGCCAGCCTCCGGGCAGAAACAGAACTGAAGGAGCATATGGGATGGTGGAGTAAGAGCACCAGGATTCAGAAGGGGTGACAACAGCCCTGTGAAGGCTGCCTAGGGGGGGCGGGGCTTGAAGGCAGGCGGATTGTTGGATTGTTCGTGTGGAGGCAGGGCTTCCAAAGAGAGGGAAGAGCTCCAGCCAAGGCTCAAAGTGGGGGGACTCTCCTGGGGGTCCCCTGCGCTCCCTGAGTATATCTGCAGCCCCTCCCTGCACAGGCCATCTTTCGTGATAATTACTCTGTGTGTGTGTGTGTGTGTGTGTGTGTGGTGTGTGTGTGTCTCCCGGCTGGACTGGCAGCTGTGTGTGCTGCGACCCGGGCCTCGTCTCCTGCTTCTCCCCGGTGCCTGGCTTGCAGCCAGCACTCAGCAGATGCTTGTGGAGTGGATGAAGGGGCAGGAGGCAGACCTGCAAGAGTGCACACGGCGTGTGTGGTCGGGAGGCGGCAGGGCGAGGCCGTGGGAAGGGAAGCCCCTGTGAGTGGCCTCCGCTGTGTCTTGGCCCAGGGCAGAGGCTGGCACTGGGTGCTCAGCACAAACCCCAGAGAGGCCTGCCTGAGACCTGCCGGGGCGGGGGGTGGGGAGGGGCAGCTCTTCCCAGAAGCGGAAGGAGAAACTGGAGCAGCCTCTGGTGGTGGGAGCCCCACAGGGCATGGAGAGGGTGGCAGCAGACAGACCAAGGGCCCCAGCTTTTCCCAAGTGGCGCTCATCAGAGGTTCCGTTGCTGGAGCACTGGACTGCAGGGACATTTGCCAAGCCTGTTGCAGGGACAGCTAAGCCTGCGTCTTCACCGTACTTCTGCTGGGAATCCCGAGTCCCGCTGGAGGGGGCTTTCTTGGGCTGCCCGTGGCCCTTGACTGTGAGGGAGACGTCCAGTCCCTGCAGTGTCGACAGAAGCTGACCCTGGAGCCATCCTTTGCTGGCTTTGCCCGTGACTGCCTTTTCCTGTGCATCAGCTTCCCCGCTGTAACTGGGCCTGCTTATAGCGGCTTCCCTTGGCTATCCTAGGGGTGTCTGTGGGGCGGGAGGGAAGGGAGATAACTGGATGGAGACCTGAGCTCGCCCTATAAGACAAAGGATCCCCTTCTTGTCCACAGCCCTTTAAAAGCAACCCAGTGTCAGTTTTTTACTGTCAAAGCTTAAACTGTAGCCAGCTGCAGCGCCAGCCAAGAGTCGGAGCCCCACCGGCTTGATGGCTGAGCCCCGGGGACTCCCACCTCACAGCCTGTCGGCCTAGGCTGCATTTCAGGGCTGAAATTCAGCCTAGAGTGGAATGATCCAGGGACTGTGGACTGTGGACTGGGAACGGGCCAGATCTCCCAGGGGACATGGCACTTGTGGGAAGCAGGTCCACCCCTACTGCATAGGAACACCCTTCCTTATTGGCTTGCAAACCCCTTGAGACCAGATCTCGTGTGTCCAGTGGCTTGGAGAAACGGGGCCCTCTGGCCTGTGTATGAACTCCCAGTTGCAGACACAGGCATTGCAGACGGCTGCTGTGTGTCCAGAGGGAAGGTTTGTTTGGGGCTGGGCAATTCTAGTTGGCCCGGGATGGCAGTTCCAGGCCACTTGCCCAGTCTGGCTGTAGCCAAAGGCTCTAGAGTATCAGAGCTTTTCAGGATGGAAGCTTGGCCTGGGGGCCAGCTGGGCCATGCTGGCCTCCTCTAGGGAGGGCTCCTGTGGTGGCCCCCAGCGTCCTAGCCAGACCTCTGTGTCTTAAGGCAGAAAGTGAACAGTCTCACGGGTTCATGTCCCTAGGCTGGGGTGGGAAGCCTTGGTGGGAGCATGCAGGCTGGCCCTTGTCCAGGTGGCCTGCAAGTGGTGTGGGACATCAAGTGAGAGTCCAGGGGTGCGTCGCTTGTGGGCCAGCAGTTGGAGAAGCACTTGTGTGCAGCTTAGTTGGAAAGGGCCTGGGGCTAGGGAGGGGAGGGAGATAGATCTGGAGGCAGAGCCTTTTCACCTCATCTTGGGGACCTGGGGAGCTCTGGTGTGCATCAGGAGACAGACTGGAGGTCAGGTCCAGGCGGGACAGGGTGGGAACACTGGCTGAGTGGCGCCTCTGCCCAGGCATGGCTCTGACTCACTTTGGGTGAGTCTTGAACGAGCATCCCAAGAGGCAGGTACACACCAAGTGCCAAGGTCCAGTGGTCTGTAGACTGCCCCGTGGAGCCTGCCCTCTGCTGAGGATGAGGAAGTAGGTGTCTGGGATTTCGTGTGCTCAGCGCGGTGGCAGGGGTCAGCAGGCATGATGGGCTCAGAGGTGACAGCCTGTTTAAGGCCCGGAAGCAATGTAGGGAGTGCACGCAGGGCTCTGGACGCAGGGGATGGAGTTTAGACTTTGCTCTGAGATTGCATTGTTGATGCCCAGAAAATCTCACAGTGAGGTTCAGGGCCTCATCAGATTCCGTGCTCCGATCTGTCTTGCCCTTGAGTGGAGATGCAGGAGCTCTGACCGCCCCTTTCCCTAGTGCTGAGCCGGCGGGGCCTGCAGTGGCCCAGGTTTAAAAGCAGGAGCCTAGAGCTTTAAAAGCTGAAGGAGCCGGGGTCCTCCAGTCGGCTCTTAATGCCCAGGTCAGAACCTGCACCTGCTAGGGTCAAGCTGGGCACCTCCTCCCTGGCCTGTGTGACCTTGACTCTTGACCTTGACTCGAGTTTCTCAGATGAATACTCCAAACGTCCCAAGTAGGCCAGTGACTTTCCTGGTCCCTTCAGTGGCCATGGCCTGGCCCCCTTGCCCTGTGGCAGGTGTGTACTGGACTGTTCCTGGCCTGGGGGAGCAGTGTGTGTTGGCTGCCATCCCTGCAGGGCGGGGTGTCACCATCAGTGCTGAACATGCAAAACCCTCTTAAACACCTTCCCCTCTTGTGTCTGCAAAACCCACGTGGGCTCGCCACTGGTTTCTTGGTTTGCACTGCTTTTCTTGTAGAGAGAACGTGCTTCTCGCCATAACTCCCCAGGAAAGCCTCCGAACTCCTAGGCCTTTGGTATTGGCTCTCACCTCGTCTTTGGCCGGGAATAACTGTTGGTCTGCTCAGGGATTGGTTGCAGGAGAGAGGAGCCTGGAGGGAGAGTGAAGAGAGCAAGGCGGACAGTCAGACAGACTGATGAGCCGGCTGCAGAGTCTGGGGCCCCTGGGGCTTGCGGGTTTCCTTCTGCCCTGTTCTGTCTTGCGCCCGTTGTCAGAGGCCCTGCTGCTGGCCCGTGGGGTGAGCTGCCTGCAGGGGTTCCTCTTTATTCTCCCTTCCCGGCAACCTCGGGGCTCGGCAGCCTTCAGAGAAGGTGATCTCCTTCCTGTTCCTTGTCAAGGAAGGTCAGGCTGGCTTTCACCCGAGGGAGAGAGGAGTGGCGAGCGAGGTGGAAGAAATGGGAGGAAGTGGCTGAGGCCTGCGCCGACTTGCAGGCTGTGCCGACTTGCAGGCTGGAAGCCCCATCAGCAGCACCCAGAACACAGCCAGGGATGGGGTCCCAGGGGCCCCGAGAGCCCATGCCCAGAGGGCGGGACCGCAGCAGCCAGGATCAGGCCCCCTGCAGGTGGACCTCAACACCTGTTGGCCCGGTGGTGAGGCGCTTCCTCTGCTTCCTGTGGGTCTGAAGCGGTCTGCTATATTCAGGGAGAGTGGGAGAGGATGACCTGCCAAGTGTTATGTCAGCATGAAGGGCTCCCGAGCCAGTGAGGAGGGGTATCTGTCCAGAAAACCCTCGCGGTGGGGTGGTGAGGCGCATGCTGTGGAAAGAAGTGGCCACTAAGTGGCTTATCTTGGAGATACTGAATGAGTTTGATTTTGGAGTCAGAGAGACCTGGGCTCTGGGGCCGATGCTGTGGCACAGTGGGTAAAGCCGCCTCCCGCAACACCGGCATCCCATATAGGCACAGGTTCTTGTCCCAGCTGCTCCATTTCCAATCCAGCTCCCTGCTAATGGCCTGGGAAAAGCAGCGGAAGATGGCGCAAGTGTTTGGGCCCCTGCTACCCACATAGGAGACTTGGATGAAGCTCCTGGCTTCTGCCTGGCCCAGCACTGGCCATTGTGGCCATTTGGGAAGTAAACCAGCAGATGGAAGATCTCTCTCTTTCTGTAACTCTTTCAAATAAATAAATACATCTTAAAGAAAAAAAGAGAGAGACCTAGTTCAAGTCCTGACTCTGCAGCAGAATCACTGTGTGACCACAGGCAAGTTACTCAGCTTCTCTGAGCCTCATCTGGTGTACCTGCAAAATGGGGGTGAAGTTATTAGCAAAGCCTGCCTTCTTGAGGCTGTTGTGGGAATAAACGGGTGCACTTAAGACGGGCTGGCTCAGATGCACATTATCATTATTGCTACGACTACTTAGCGCCCTACGCCTGGCTGGGCCCCTCTACCCTTCCTCCTGGCTTCCCAGTCATCTCCCGCTCTCCCTGCCCCCTCCAGCCCCAGCCTTTGTTCCCTTGGGGTCCCAGGCCTGAGTGTCCGTGCTCCTGTGCTCTTAGTGTTGGGGGGGGGGGCTGCAGCAGGAAGCCTGGGGTGATTCAGCCTCCCCTGGACCAGGCCCCCTGATTTGTTCTAAGCAAGTCCCAGTCCCAGCTTCAGAGACTCTTGGTGCCTGAGTGGTGGTCCTCCTCGATGTGCAGGGGAGGGTGTGGGAGCCGACAGCTGTGGGTGCACCCCTGTGAGACCTGTTTCCTGCCTCTGTCACCTCCCCTGGGCGGGAGTCCTGTCCTACAGCCTCATCCTGGAGTCCACCCCTGCTTCTCCCAGCTCCTCAGCAGCCACCCCCGAGCCTGGGCCCCTCCACCAGGCACATGCTGGCACCTGCGGCCAGGCCTGCCTGCCCCGTGGGGCCTCCCTAGTTCAGGCCCCAGGCCTCGAGCCCTGAGCCCGGGCTACTGCTCCCCAGGCGCCAGGGCAGGCGCTGGCAAGGTGGGCTGCTCCCCTCCCCTTCCCTCACATGTTCTTCCTTCCTGCCTGGGCTCCCCCTGCAGAGGCCAGCTTCTAGACCGGCGCTTAGAGAGGTGGAGCCACACAGTCCCACTCCGCAGCTTCTAGGCGCCCAGGGTGCTGATGTCTGGGGGCTGGCTTTTAGTCTCTGCCCAGAATTCCCTGCTGCCAGGAAAAGCCTATTTAAAACAAGAGGAAGGGGCTCGCCCTCCTGACCCAGTCCTCTCCCACCTACGGGGTGGCTCCGGTGTTCCTCCTGCCTCTGCGCCCCCCTCGTCCCCTCCCCCGCCATTTTCCATTAGGAACCACGCAGGGGGTGCACGCTGGAGGATTTTTCTGGCTCCGTACAGGGCCGGGAAGCTGAGGAAGGAAACCGAGGAGGAAGTTCCTCCCCTTCTGGGTGCTGGGTGAAAGTGAAAGACAGGGAGGGGGCCGCAGGTGAGTCACGCGGACCGGGCGGGCTCCTGGCGCGCCGGGCTGCGGAAGCGTGCGGAGAGCGATAGCCAGGGGCGGGGCGCGCCGGGCTCCGGGGCGGGGTCGGGGCTGGCGGGAGTCACGCTCCTGCCGGCCCAGCCCCTGCCCTCTGCTGGCTCCCTGGGAACTGCTGGGGCCGCTGACGGGGACGCGGAGCCTGCACGGCCCTGGTCCCGGGACCTGCAGGTGTGTTCTGCAGCGCTGCCTGAGCTGTCCGCCCTTGACCACCCCTCCCTGCCCCAGGGACCCAGGACAACCCTTGCTTGGGAAGAGGTGGGCCACGTAGCCCCCTCCTACCCACCGCACTCCCAAGGGCTTCCTAGGGAGAAAACCGAACACCACCACCACCTATGTGAAGAAAGAAAAAGTCTTTCCACGCTAGCAACTATGTAAGTTGTGAAATACAGGTCTGGGTTCTGTCTGTTCTCAGTAGGATAAACAGAGCAACCTTTTGAAAAAAAAAAATCAAAACAGAGACAGCATTGCAGTCTAGATATATCAAGGAGAACCCTTTGGCACTTAAGTCCTAGTGCACTGTCCCCTCCACACCCCCGCCCTCCTCCCCTGCGGGAACAATTCTGTGCTTGGGAACCCCTCCTCAGTGGGGGGCTTTCTGGCAGGGAGGGGGCAGCAGGTAGCTGCTGACCAGCTCTGGCCTGGATCCTGCCTCCGGCCAGCCAGGGCTGCAAAACAGGTTCTGTGCTAGTTTGGGAAGGACGGGCAGGCAGAGCCCCACCCAGCAGCTCTTCCCAGGGGTGGGGCTAGGACCGCAGACACCCTTCTGGGGCCTCACCTGCATGCCTCAAGAGTGAAGGCCTGTGAGGCTGGCCTGGGCCCTGGGCTCTGCAAGGGCTCGCTTGGCGGTGGGGGTGGGGGTGGGGGTGTGGGAATGACCCCTCTCTTCCCACTTCCTGTGTCTGAGATATGCTCTGGGTGTCAGAGAGACATTGGCCAGGTCTGGATCTTTCCGGCTCTGGTGGAGAGCTACTGTGTGGACGGATGTACAAGCAGGGCCAGGCCTTGCTGCCTAGAGGGCTGGCGCCTGGCTCCAGAGGAGAAAGGAGCCCAGTAGGGTCTTTGCTGCCCCCTCTCCCAGCTTGGTTGGAAGGGCTTGGGCTGGCTGTCAGCTCCACTTGCATGGGCCTTTTGTGCAGTGCACAAGTCGCACAACCTGATGCACTAGTCCTGGAGCTAACCAGGTGGCGGGGTGAGAGGCGAGTCACGGAGCACCTAGGGAGGGGCTAGAGTTCTGCTGCCTTGCTGGCCACACCCCCCACGCTCCTGCTTCTGCCTCACCAGTGCTGCGCGCTGTGGCCCTGGACTCATTCTTTGACTGCGTGGGAGGCCTCAGAGAGAGCCCCCTGTCACACTTGGGGTAACATCAAGGTTGCCAGGAGGCTGTAGCTGACGCTGTTGCTACTCTTCCCTCTGCAGGCTCCTGGACCCCACGAGCAGCATGAACCGGGAAGAGTAGAGCAGCCCAGAGCCTTGGAAGAGGAAGAAAGCTCCCCCCACAGCAGCCTCGGCCTCTGCCTCTGCCTCCCTGCTCTGGGCCAGGCTTCCCTCAGCAGCTGGCCCTGGGGCATGGGCAGTTGGTGAGGCAGCTCTCCCTGCCGGGCTCCGTTGTCCACATCATGAACCTCCAGGCCCAGCCCAAGGCTCAGAACAAACGGAAGCGGTGCCTCTTTGGGGACCAGGGAGCGGCTCCCAAGGAGCAGCCGCCCCCACTGCAGGCTCCACAGCCGGCCCTCCGGGGCAAAGAGGAGCCGCAGTACGGCGGGGGGCTGGGTGCGGGGCTTGAGGGGCCCGCAGCCGCCTCCACCACCTCTCAGCCTGTGGAACTGCCCCCCGCCAACAGCCTGGCCCTGCTGAACTCCGTGGTGTACGGGCCTGAGCGGACCACGGCAGCCATGCTGTCCCAGCAGGTGGGCTCGGTGAAGTGGCCCAACTCCGTGATGGCTCCCGGGCGGGGCCCGGAGCGCGGCAGTAGCGGTGGCGGCGGAGGCGGCGGCGGCGTCAGTGATAGCGGCTGGCAGCAGCAGCCCGGCCAGCCTCCGCCGCACTCCACGTGGAACCGGCTCTCCCTCTACGGCGGACCCAAGGGGAGCCCTCACCCTGGCGTGGGGGTCTCCGCCTACTATAACCACCCCGAGGCCCTGAAGCGGGAGAAAGGGGGCGGCCCGCAGCTGGACCGCTACGGCAACGCAGTGCGGCCCATGGTGCCGCCCAAGGTGCAGCTGGAGGTGGGGCGGCCCCAGGCGCCGCTGAACTCTTTCCACGCAGCCAAGAAACCCCCAAACCAGACGCTGCCCCTGCAGCCCTTCCAGCTGGCGTTCGGCCACCAGGTGAACCGCCAGGTCTTCCGGCAGGGCCCGCCGCCGCCCAACCCCGCCACCGCCGCTGCGGCCGCCGCCGCCGCCTTCCCCCCACAGAAGCCGCCGGCGCCGCCTCAGGCAGCTCTGCCACAGATGCCGCTGTTCGAGAATTTCTACCCGATGCAGCAGCCGCCCGCGCAGCAGCCCCAGGACTTCGGCCTGCAGGCCGCCGGGCCGCTGGGGCAGCCCCACCTGGCGCACCACAGCATGGCCCCCTACGCCTTCCCCCCAAATCCTGACATGAACCCCGAACTGCGCAAGGCCCTCCTGCCGGAGTCAGCCTCGCAGCCTGTGCTACCTCAGCCCCAGGTCGCCTTCCCCCGCCGCTCCCGCCGCCTCTCCAAGGAGGGCATCCTGCCTCCCACCGCCCTGGACGGGGCTGGCACCCAGCCCGGGCAGGAGCCCGCCAGCAGCCTGTTCCTCCATCACTGGCCCCTGCAGCCGCCGCCCGCCGGCCCCCTGGGGCAGCCCCACCCCGAAGCTCTGGGCTTCCCTCTGGAGCTGAGGGAGTCACAGCTGCTGTCTGACGGGGAGAGACTGGCACCCAACGGCCGCGAGCGGGAGGCTCCCGTCATGAGCTCGGAGGAGAGCATGCGGGCGGTGGGCACAGGGGACTGCGGGCAGGTGCTGCGGGGCGGGGTGATCCAGAGCACGCGGCGGCGGCGCCGTGCGTCCCAGGAGGCCAATTTGCTGACCCTGGCCCAGAAGGCGGTGGAGCTGGCCTCGCTGCAGAGTGCAAAGGTGAGCGTGGCCTGGGGTGCTGGCCAGGCTGGGCAGGGGGCAGGGCAGCGTGAGGGCTACGGAAGCCTAGGGTGAACGAACCTTGCATACTTCAGGGTGCGTGTGTGCAGGGAAGGGAAGCTGGGACTGACACAGGAAGGGCTGGTGGCTAGCAGCGTGCAGCCCACCACCGTGGGGTCACCGTCCCCTTCTCTTGGGACCTGGCCAGCGGGAGGCTGGAAGCTGGGGCCATTTCCAGACCCAGTTTGCTGACAGCCATAGGCTGGTTGTTGCACAGTGACTCAGAGGGTCAGAACATGAGGAACTGCCATTCAAAATCAGTTAATTTTGTTGTGTAGATGGGATGCAATAAAATAGATTTTTTAAAAAGATTTCTTTATTTATTTGAAAGGTAGAATTACAGAGAGGCAGAGAGAGAGACAGCCTCCATCCACTGGTTCACTCCCCAGATGGCTGCAACGGCTGGGCTGATCTGAAGCCAGGAGCTTCTTCCGGGTCTCCCACCTGTGTGCAGGGGCCCAAGGACTTGGGCCATCTTGGGCACCCATTTGGGGGGAATGAACCAGGGGATGGAAGATCTCTCTGTGTCTATTTCTGTAGCTCTCCCTTTCAAATAAATAATTTTTTTAAATGTCTCAGCAAAAAAAAAAAAAAAAAATCAGGAAACCTGTGTTGATATGAATGATGGTCTTTGAGTTTTGTTCCCCCATGGGCAGCTGGCAGGAGCAGTGGGTACCCCGAGCACCCTGGATTGAACAGGGGTGGGGTCCTAGAGCAGCAAACCAGGCCTTCCCTGCTGAACTCACTCCTCTTTCCCCCTCTCTTCCAGGATGCCAGTGGTGCGGAGGAAAAGCGGAAAAGTGTGTTGGCCTCCACCACCAAGTGTGGCGTGGAGTTTTCTGAGCCTGCCTTGGCCGCCAAGCGGGCACGAGACGAGAGCGGGATGGTTCCTCTCATCATTCCGGTGTCCGTGCCTGTGCGGACCGTGGACCCCACCGAGGTGGCCCAGGCTGGCGGTGTGGACGAGGACGGGAAGGGTGCTGAGCAGAACCCCGCGGAGCACAAGCCATCGGTCATTGTCACCCGCCGCCGGTCCACCCGGATCCCTGGGACAGAGACCACAGCTCAGGTATGAGAGGAGGTGCAGAGGCGTCCGCCCCCTGTGGTGGCCTTGGGCCCCGTGGGAGGGTTCCAAGGAGGTGGCAGAGAGAGTGTTTTTATTTTCCAAATCAAACCTCTGGATGCATGTACAAATGGGACAAGACGGTTGTACACTTGGAATTGAGACTGGGGACATGGAGGCGGTGTGAATCACAGTTCAGGTTAGCAGATTTTCGCTGGGCCCCTCATGTGGTGGAGGCCATATGCTGGGTGCAGAACGCAGAGATGTTTGCTTGTTCTGCCAGTACTGAGCTGTCTGTCCTGAAGTTGACCGCGGAGATTGAGATTTTGTCTATTTCTTTCCTTCCCCATCCCTACTTGTTCTATAGATTATTAGGGCAAGTACTGGTTTGTAGCTGGATTAGACACTCGATCATTGTTTCTTTTGTCTGCAGTAATGCTTTTGCCTTCTAAAGTCTAGTGTGGTGCAGTGGGTTAAGGCACCGCTTGCAAAGCCCACGTTCTATATTGGAGTGCATGGTTAGAGTCTCGGCTGCTCCACTTCCAATCCAGCTTCCTGCTAATGCATCCTGTGAGGCAGCAGGTGGATGGCTCAAGTGTTTGAGCCCCTGCATCCATGTGGGAGACCTGCATGGAATTCCAGACTCCTGGCTTCAGCCTGGCCCAACCCTGGCTGTTGCAGGGACTTGAGTGAACCAGCGGATGGAAGACCTGTCTCTGTCACTCTGCCTTTCAAATAGATGAAAATAAACATTTAAACAGTAAAGTCTAATTTGAAAGCTAAAGTCTATTTAGCTTTCTTTTGGTTAGTGCCTGTAGGGAGTATATCTATCCTTTTACCCTCTTTGTGTATCCTTAATATATCTTTTTTTTTTTTAATTTTTTGACAGGCAGAGTGGACAGTGAGAGAGAGAGAGAGAGAGAGAGAGAGAAAGGTCTTCCTTTTGCCGTTGGTTCACCCTCCAATGGCCGCCGTGGCCAGCGCACCACGCTGATCCAAAGGCAGGAGCCAGGTGCTTCTCCTGGTCTCCCATGGGGTGCAGGGCCCAAGCACTTGGGCCATCCTCCACTGCACTCCCTGGCCACAGCAGAGAGCTGGCCTGGAAGAGGGGCAACCGGGACAGAATCCGGTGCCCCGACCGGGACTAGAACCCGGTGTGCCGGCGCCGCAAGGCAGAGGATTAGCCTATTGAGCCGCGGCGCCGGCCAATATATCTTTTCAAGTGGCTTATAATTGGGATTTGTTCTTTTCCAGTCTAGCAACGTTTGTCTTTTAATTAGAGTATTGATATGGGTTACATATTTTCTGAGTGTCTGTTTACTTAAGTTGATTAACAAAAATCATATATGTTTACTGTGTGCAACATGATGTTTTGATACATGATGGGTCTTCCAAAAAGTTAATGGAAAGTGAGTATTATGAAAAAACTGTGGGAGTAGGTGGTTGGCTTAGCAGTTAAGGTGCCGCATGGGGCCCGAGTGCCTGGGTGTTAGTCCCAGCTCTGCTTTCAGTTCCAGCCTCGTGCTTATGCACACTGGGAGGCAGCAGGTGTACGACTCAAGCAGTTGGGTCCCTGCTGCCCACTGCGAACCCGGAGTGAGTTTCTAGCTCCCAGCTTTGGCCTAGTCCAGCCCCAGCTGGTGTGGGCGTTTGGGGACTGGACCAGCAGACGGCAGATCTCTTACTCTCTGCCTTTCAAATTGAAAAATAAATAAATCATATGAACATTAAAAAAAACCTTGTGGATATAAAAATTTTTGTCCCAAAATAAGATGATCTTTTAAATTTCACTTTTCCATGGACTTTTTGAAGTACCTGCCTATGTCTACATTGGCAAATGGCTACATCAAGCTAATTATATATATTACCTCACATATTAATCACCGTTTTTGTGCCAAGAGCACTTCAGTCTCCTTTGTTAGCAATGTCCAGGGGTATGAAGCACCCTGTGTATAATGTATCTCTAACTGGAACAGTGGATCCACTGGCCAGCGTCTCCCCGGTCCGCAGCCCTCAGCCCTTGGCAACCGCCAGTCATTGTGCTCTCTGCTGCCGAGTTGTCTTTGTAGGTCGCCCTGGTGCAGTTTATGTCCAGGGTCATTACTGCTGTTGGCAGGCTGAGCTTTCTTTCTGTCCCATCCTGCCTTTCCTGTGTTCCTTTCTTCTGTTGTTTGTGTTTTCCTCGGGGTTCATTGGGGTTGCCATGAATTAGTAATTTTATATCTTATTTGTTTCTCTTTTAGTAATTACCCTAGCAGCTCTCTTACTTGGATTTCTGCAGCAGAACAAAGCCCTGGGGGAGGGGATTCGAGTGACTGTTTGCTCAGTTCTCTGAAAGGGGTGCACAGCTAGTACTATTCTAGATGCGTTGGAGAGAAGTGAGGTTATTACATACAGGGAAAGCCTGGACTTTAGGGCTTCGTTCACTAATTGAGAAGATAGCGAGGGATTCAAACATACCTGCGTGGCTTACTGAAATCCCATGTAAGTTAGTTACACAGGGTAGTTACCTTTTCCAGTGCAGTGAGAACAATGCAAAGTTCCCGTAACACCTTTCCTCCACTTTCTGCCAATGCCTCACTTGTAGAATTATTGACGTCATTTTCATTCCCTGCATATTTAACGTCAGCAGGACATTATAGCATTTCTGTTTTATCCAGTTGTTGTTTGTTTTAGATTTATCACTCCCCCATCTTTACCCCTTTTGTTGCTTTCTTTTCTTCTCGTAGTTCCAAGCACTTACATGCTGCTTGAAGAATATTCCTTTAGAGTGGGCTGTGAGGGATGAATTTTGTTAGCCTCTGATTGTCTGAAAATTTTATTTCATCTTTATTTTTGAAAGGTAACTGTGCTGGGTAGGGGATTCTAGGTTGGTTGTTATTTTCTTTTGGTACTTTATTGTTATTTTTAAAAGATTATTTATTTATTTGAAAGACAGAGTTACAGAGAGAGGGAGACAGAGAAAGAAAGATCTCATACACTGTTTCACTCCCCAAAGGGCTTCAACGGCCAGGGCTGGGCCAGGCTGAAGGCAGGAGCTCAGAATTCCATCTGGGTCTCTCACATGGGTGCAGGGGCCCTAGCATTTGGGCCATCTGCTGCTGCTTTTCCCAGCACATTAGCAGGGAGCTGGATCGGAAGTGGAGCAGCCAGGACTCGAACCGGCATCCATATGGGATGCCGGTGTCAAGGCAGTAGCTTTACCTGCTGCGCCACGGTGCCGGCCCTTCTTCTAGTGCATTCTGTTGTCTCAGGCTGCCGTTGTGCTGACAGCACTGAGAAGTCCCTGTCAGCCAAATTATTGTTCCTTAGAATGTAAGGTGTCTTTAATTTTGTCATTTTCCAGATTTGGGTTTTTTTTTTTAATTGTTGTTGGTTTTTGTCTTTGATTTTCAGCAGTTTTGCTGTGTTACAGATAAATGTATTCTTTGTCTTTATCCTGTTTAGAGTTTGTGGTGCTTCTTGAATAATTCTCCATCTTCTGTCTCCTCTGTCTCCGGAACTCCAGCTACGTGACTGTTGGATGTTTCACCATGTCCCCAGTCTTGTCTGTCATGCACTTTCCTATATTTTCCCATGTTTTTTCAGTTCACTAATTTGCTAATAAGTTGTTAAACCCATTCACTGAGTTCATATTTCAGTTGTCTTTTTTTTTCATTCTAGAATTTCCATTGTCTCACTTTCTGGGTTTCTGGTCCTTCCATGAAATTGTCAACTTATTGCATAAATTAAGTATAGTTTTCTTTTTTTCTTTTCTTTTTTTTTTTTTTTTGTTTGTTTTTGACAGGCAGAACTAGACAGTGAGAGAGAGAGACAGAGAGAACAGAGAGAAAGGTCTTTCTTTTTCCGTTGGTTCACCCCCCCAGATGGCCGCCACAGCTGGTGTGCTGCGCTGGTCCAAAGCCAGGAGCCAGGTGCTTCCTCCTGGTCTCCCATGCGGGTGCAGGGCCCAAACACTTGGGCCATCCTCCACTACACTCCTGGGCCACAGTAGAGAGCTGGACTGGAAGAGGGGCAACCGGGACAGAATCCGGCGCCCCAACCAGGACTAGAACCTGGGGTGCAGCGCCGCAGGCAGGGGATCAGCCCAGTGAGCCGTGGCACCGGCCGTATAGTTTTCTTAATGTTTATTACTAATGACTTTTAATGTGAGTCTGTTTCTGTTACCTGTTGTTTCTGGTTTTAAAATAACATCTTGCTTTATTGTGTACCTGGTTATTTTTTTCTTGAGTGGCAGCTGTCATATAAGAAAAATGATTGACAATGTTCTCTTTTGGCACGAAGGGTGTTTTCGTTGCTTCTGACAGGCCACAGAGGGTACTAGCAGTCCTGATCGGCTTTCATTTGTTGAGATGAAGTGGTTGAAGTTGGACCTCACGCCCTGGCAGGACTAGCCTCGTCCTCACCTGCCTTTATTCCGAGACGTGTCTCTTAGGAGTCCCAGTCGGAGCCTGGCGATCCACCCGGCTCTCCGTCCTCGGCTAGCTGTAAACTCCACTGTAGATTCTCTTGGCTCCAGGCATTTGTTCAGAGCTTTGCTCCCAGTGGCCTCTCCCAGTACCTGTGTCCACCCAGGGTGAATGCAGCTCCAAATACTGGACTCGCCTCTTTGGCCTCCTTCTTTGCTCCCCTGGGTCTTAGCTTTTTAATTCTTTTCCCACCTCTTTTCTCTCTGACACCTTCAGAAGTGTGTTTTTCACCCTTAGCCTGGATTTCCAGTTATTCTCAGCTGCAGAGTTGGCCTGCATGCCCGGCCTGTGTTGTGGGGGCCGGGGTGGTGCAGAGGAGGGCACGACCCCAGGCCACTCAGTGCCTCTGTGTTGTTCTCTGGTGGAGAGAAAGCTTGTGCTGGATTCTGGCGGCCTGCGCAGCTTGTCCCAAGAGTCCCAGTGACACAGCTCACTGCCCCCATTCCACGGATGAGGAAGTAGGTCCAGAAAAGGCAAAAGAAACTGGTCACACAGCCAGGCAGAGCAGAGCTGGGCCTGGAATTTGAATCTGCTGAAGGCCTGCCTGTGAGTGCTTTCGCAGCACCTGGCTTCGGGGCACGGTTTTGTTGTTGTTCTTTGCTGATTTATGTATTTAGTTATTTTGCTTTGCATTGTCGGCGTTTTCAATCATGTGTAAGAATGGAGTGTGGTAAGTGAATGCCAGTGTCCCGCCACCACCCAGCTCTCATTGTCAAACTACAGCCCATCTGGTTGCGCCCGGAACCAAGCAGTGTATGAAGCCGTCCCTGATGCTGCAGTTCGCATCTGATAACGCACACAGAGACTCTCTCCTTTTAGCGTAACCGCGATGCTTTCCTCACACCTAAGAACTTACCGTGAAAACCGTCAGCTATTCGGAGTAGTTTACAGCGCCTGTTAGGGAGCGGAAGGCATTGCAGCGATCTGGGTCCTGAGTGGGATTTCTCGTCCGGCGAGTTAGGGGGCCTTCGGCCACACTGCATTTTATCTGCACGGTGCTCCTCGGAGGGCGGGAGCGTGAACAATTCCATTTCATCCTGGTCTGCAGAAGGCAAGAGAGGGCACGAGTGGGTAGACGCCATGGCCTCACAGGGCCTCGGCTGGGGCCTTGGAGGGGAGAGGGCCTCACGGGGCCAGGCCCACTCGATGGCCAGGCCAGCCTCACCTGCTGTGCTGGGTGCCAGGGTGGGGAGCAGGGTGCTGCTCACCCCAAAGGACTGCACTCTCTGCCCTGTTGCGAATATGGCGACGGAGCAGGGAAAGGCCTCTGTTCCCTGCTGCCCTGCTTTCTGTTCCGCACGGAAGCCCCTGTGGCATGCCGGGCAGGAAGGCAGGGGAGCCAGGAGGGCTGGCCTTGGGCTGCACGGATGGGCTGCTGCTGCCGTCGGACTGGGACTCTGAGAGCAAGAGTTGCCTGAGCGGCAGCTGTTGTGGTACAGTAGGGGAAGCTGCCCACATCCCAGGCGGACTGCCTGGGTTGAGTCCCTGCTCCTCCGCGTTCCCGTCCAGCTCCCTGCTCGTCCGTCTGGGAAGGCAGCAGGTGATGGCCCAAGTGTCTGAGTTCCTGCCATCCACATGGAAGATGGGGTGGAATTCCTGGCGCCTGGCTTCTGCCTGACCCAGTGGGCGTTTGGGGAGTGAGCCAGTGGATGGGAGATCCTCTCTCTTTCTTTCTCTCTTTCTCTCTCTGACTTAGAACAAAAGTTCTGTGAGGATAGGGGCTATACTGTTCCATTTTGTGGTCCCGTGCCCAGCTGAGGCCTGGTTCCATCTAATGTAGGGTCCCTGTAGCTACCCTATTAGGTAGGCACTTACTATTCCCATGTTAAAAATGAAGATCACAGGGAGATTAATTTTTAAGACTTATGTTATTGATTTGAAAGGCAGAGTTAGAGAGAGCATATGAGACAGAGAGCGGGAAAGAGCGTTCATCTGCTGGTTCATTCACCCCAATGGCTGGGGCTGGGCCATCGAAAGCCAGAAGCCTGGAACTCCATTCAGGTCTCCTGCTTGGGTGGCAGGGGCCCAAGCACTTGGGCTGTCTTCTGCTGCTTTGCCAGGAGCTTTAACGGGGAGCTGGATCGTAAGCAGAGGGGCCAAGACTCAAACCAGTGCTCTGATATGGGATGCCAGAGTCATAGCCCTAGCTTAACCCACTGCTGCGCCACCACGCTGGCCCCTCCTATATGCTTTAAGTCATCTTTGGATTGCTTACAGTGCCTAAGCCAGTGAGATGCTATGGAAGCAGTTGTTATGGGAATAATGGCAAGGGAAGAAGTCTGTACCTGTTCAACACAGATGCGGGTCCCCCCCCCCCCCAAGATTTATTTTTATTTATTTGAAAGGCAGAGTTAACGGGAGGGGGAATACAGAGAGAGAGGTCTTCCATCTGCTGGTTCACCCCTCAAATGGCTGTAAAAGCCAAGGCTGGGCCAGGCTGAAATTAGGAGCCTGGGACTCCATCCAGGTTTCCCATGTGGGTGGAAGAGGTGGCAGGGGCCCAAGCACTTGGGCCATCCTCCACTGCTTTCCCAGGCACATTAGCAGGGAGCTGGATTGGAAGTAGAGCAGCCAAGACTCGAACCTGTGCCCATGTGGGATGCCAGCATTGCAGGGCGGGGCTGAACCTGTTATGGAACAATGCTAGCCCCCAGACATGCTTTTTTCTTTTTTTCTTTTCTTTCTTTTTTTTTTTTTGCACAGGTAGAGTTATAGACAGTGAGAGTTGGTTCACTCCCCTAATGGCCCCTATGGCCGGCGCTGCACCAATCTGAAGCCAGGAGCCAGGTGCTTCTTCCTGGTCTCCCATGCAGGTGCAGGGACCCAAGCACTTGGGCCATCCTCCACTGCCTTCTTGGGCCACAGCAGAGAGCTGGACTGGAAGAGGAGCAACTGGGACTAGAACCCGGTGCCCATATAGGATGCCGGCACCGCAGGCGGAGGACTAACCAAGTGAGCCGCGGCACCGGCCCCCAGACATGCTCTTTTAAAAAACTTGGTTTTGGTCTGTGGTTGTTTGAACCCCAAGATATGGAGCCCATGGCCCCGAGGCCATCTGAAGAAAGAAAAAGAAGACTGTGTGACAGAGACTATGTGCGGGCCATTCTTGGGCCCTATCCAGAAAAAGCGTGTTAACCTCTGTCCCAGAGGAGACCCTGAGAAAGGGCTTTGGACCTGGCAGGCAGTCGTTGTCCTGGGCGCGGGGCGCTGAGGCGTCTTTGTTGTGTTTCCCTCTCCAGGCTGAGGACATGAATGCCAAGTTGGAGGGGGAGCCTTCTGTGCGGAAACCAAAGCAGCGGCCGCGCCCTGAGCCCCTGATCATCCCCACCAAGGCGGGCACTTTCATCGCGCCTCCTGTCTACTCCAACATCACCCCGTACCAGAGCCACCTTCGCTCTCCTGTGCGCCTAGCTGACCACCCCTCCGAGCGGAGCTTCGAGCTGCCCCCCTACACCCCACCCCCCATCCTTAGCCCCGTGCGCGAGGGCTCCGGCCTCTACTTCAACGCCATCATCTCCACCAGCAGCGTCCCAGCCCCTCCTCCCATCACGCCAAAGAGTGCCCATCGCACCCTGCTCCGGTCCAGTGAGTGCCCCCCTCCGTGGCTATGGGGGCAGGGGACAGAGAGACAGAGAGGGCCCTGGCAGGGAGGTGACTCAGCTCCTGGGGCTGGAGCACCGCGGGGAAGCGGCTCTTCTGTCTGAACTCTGAGAGGGAGAAGGACGCCGTCCTGGTTCAAGAACTGGGAGTGGGGAGAGGGCGTGGGCGGGCCCAACTGCTTGGATTCAGATCATCCCTGCACGCATGTCCTTTAAGCTCCCAGGGCTTCAGTCTCTTTGCTATTAAAATGGAGACATGAGTTGAAGAAATTGCCAGTAAGTTAACTCTAGTGGGAGCCACAGAGAGCAGCTTCCTGATGCACTGCGCCCCAGCACTGTGTGAGGGGCAGATGCGGTGCACGTGCAAAGCCCTTATACTAACGCCTGGCCATTGCCTTCCTTCCTGGGTCTCTCGCTTGGATGGTCATTATGGCAATACCGGCCCAGCCTGGCTGGTGTATTGCTGACCCACTCTACAAAGGGATCCATTTCTTCTGAAAGAAATGGGAAAATCCTATCCCTTCAAGGGTAGAGAGGATTAAGTGGGAGGCACATGGGCGCCTTCACCCAATTAACTTCCGACTCTGACCTCACCGGTGGTGCAGCTCTCTGGTGCCCCCTGGTGTCCATAGGCAAACCAAGGTCTGGCCCCTCGTGGTTTCCAGGGGAAGCCTCTCTGGCGGGCTGCGGGTGCAGGAGTCCCTGTAGAGAACAGACTGGAGCGCAGAAGAGGCCAGCCTGTCCACGAGTGTTCACCGGACACCCGGGTGTAAAGCCGCCCTGGGTCCTGCGAGGGCTGCAGGGGCGTGTGGGACAGAGCACAGGGTCATCCGGGAGTCGACAGGAAAGCCCCGGAGACAGAGGCAGAGGTTCTGGACAGGGTGGGGTCGGCAGCCTGCGAGTGAGGCTGACGCTGTGCTCCGGAGCCCACAGAGGCTGCAGAGGCTGCAGGCCTGGGACGGGAGGAAGGCATTGCATTCAGGGCGGGTGGGGCTGCAGGCGGGCTTGATTCCCCTGGGGGCGGGGTCTGGCAGCAGGGAGGGCAGGCCAGGCTGAGCCAGTGACTGCCCCAAAGGCGTGTAGGTGGGACTATGCTGCAGAGCCAGGGGCCACGTGGTAAGCAGTGGGCTAGGACCCCAGGGTCCAGCCAGGGGGTGCAGCTGGAAGGGGACCTGTGCTGAACTCTGGGCTCAGGAAGCCAGGGTTTTACCTCCTGTTAGAGAGGGAGTCGGCAAGGGTTTTTGTTGTTGTTTTTGGGAGTGTCTTGATAATGCGGGGCCTTGAAAAGATCTCAGGAGGAATTGAAGCAGACAATTCTAGAGAGAAGATAAAGCAGCGAGCCCCTTCACCACCTTGCTCGTGGGCCGGAAGTTTCAGCCTCTGTCCCGGCGTGCAGTGTGGTGTGGGGCAGGAACACGCGCTGGGAGCAGTGTTGTGACGGGGTAGCGGTGGTAATCATGGCCGGGACTTGTGGACTGCCAGGTTCTGTGCGTTATTTCATTCAGTCCTCACACTAGCCCTTGGTAGGCAGTAATGGCCCCTTTGTGCAGGTGTGAAAACTGAGGCACTCACACCTTTAGTTAAGGGCCTGAGTGGTCCCAGCGGGCTGCAGGGTTGCGGGAGTGTGGACCCTGGGAGTCGTGCCTCCAGGGCAGTCACCCGGGCTGGGGGGTGCTTGGCTGAGGGAGGTGGGAGCCACTCACCAGCCTGCTGTTTGTTCCACAGACAGCGCCGAAGTCACCCCGCCTGTCCTGTCTGTGATGGGGGAGGCCACCCCCGTGAGCATCGAGCCGTAAGTGCAGCCCCGTGCAGCCCTGCCTCTGGGCTGCAGCGTGCATGTGCAGACGGGCCCTGGAGCCACAGGCAGCTCCCCCCCGCCCCCGACACACAGACACTTCTGGGTGGAATTGTGGAAAAACAAAGGGGCCAGCTCAGCCTGAGTTTCTCTCTGGGGAGAGCCGGGGTGGAGGGGAGAGGCGGGGGCCATGTCCGAGAGACCCTTTCCCCATCTGTCAGCCTGGAGTCTCCCCTTCCTAGCCTCGAGCCTTGCCTTTGTGGGGGGCCAGGTGCCATTCCCGAGGGGGGAAGTCAGGTCCCTTGTCCTCCACGGGGATGGCCTCATTGCCTGTGCTTCCCACCCCTGCAGACGGATCAACGTGGGCTCCCGATTCCAAGCAGAAATTCCCTTGATGAGGGACCGCGCCCTGGCAGCTGCCGACCCCCACAAGGCTGACCTGGTGTGGCAGCCCTGGGAGGACCTGGAGAGCAGCCGGGAGAAGCAGAGGCAAGGTGAGGAGGGCCCCGGGAACCAGTGAGTGGAGGTGGGCCGTGTGCGGGTTGGGGGCGGGGGGCAGCCGGCCACGCTGAGCCCTGAGTGTGATTTCCTGTATTCTTGCCCCACGCTCCGTGAATCCAGTGGAAGACCTGCTGACGGCTGCCTGCTCCAGCATCTTCCCCGGTGCCGGCACCAATCAGGAGCTGGCCCTGCACTATCTGCACGAGTCCAGGGGAGACATCCTGGTGAGCTGGAACCCCTGGCAGAGAGAGGGTCCTGTGGGGAGGCGGGCAGTGATCCACGCCCGATGTCCAGGAGCCAGGCCTGCAGCGTGCTGAGCCAAGGCGGGCAGCACGGTCTGACCAAGCAGCACATTGTAGGGGCTCGGCTCCAGGAGCCCCAGTTCCATGCTCCAGAGTCTGCTGTGCAGAGTCCTCCTGTCCACTCCAGTCCGATTCTGGATCAGCGGGCCCCACCCTCAGGTCCAGAGGGTCTTCTCAGCCTCCAGGCTACCACTGTAAGAGGTGCAGCGGCCTGGTTCCTCCGCAGCCCCAGCCCGTGCCATCACCATCCTCCCAGGCCGCTGGACCCTGGGCAGTGAAGGCGGACGCGAGTCAGTGCCCCTGCTGCTACGAGGCCTGAGGACGCCCCTCTGATGTTGCCAGGCCTGGGAAGCCCCACGGAGCGCTGAGACTGCTGCCAGGGCCTGACTGTTCTTCCGCTTCCCCTGCAGGAAACGCTGAATAAGCTGCTACTGAAGAAGCCCCTGCGGCCCCACAACCACCCGCTGGCAACGTATCACTACACAGGTGCGCCTGGAGCCAAGTGCCGCCCTGAGTTGGGGGTGGGGGCAGGCAGCCGAGAGCCGGGTGGGGGGACTGGTACCAGAACCCCGGTAGCCTTCAGGGGACTTCCTGGGAAAGAAGTGGGCAGGGGGGAGCCCATTCAGGCGTGAAGGCCAGGTCACAGATGCTGTCCAAATTGGCTTCAGGCATCTGGAACTTAGGTGGCCCCTGAAGGACATGTCTTTTAAGAGGGACGTTGCCCAAGTTGCCTAATCCTAGCAGCCACTGGCACTGACCCCTGTGAGGGCTGCATTCTCTCTGCACCGGAGCTTCATCTACAGCTCGTGGAATCCACACCACACTCGGTGAGGTGGGCTCTGCTGCCAGTTCCCATTTCCCAAGCGAGGAGAGTGAGGCTCCAAGCGGCCTGGCCAGCGGGTACCCAAAGCAGGACCGGGAGCAGCTCTGGACCCTGGCAGACACCACGCATGGGTGACCTCATGCCTCTCAGCTGCCGAGAGCTGCCCCCGTGCCACGGCTCTGCCGCCTCACTACTCCGGCTCCTGCTTTGCCCCGCAGGCTCCGACCAGTGGAAGATGGCAGAGAGAAAGCTGTTCAACAAGGGCATTGCCATCTACAAGAAGGATTTCTTCCTGGTCCAGAAGCTGGTGAGCTGGGGCTCTGTTTCAGGGGCAAGGGAGGGCTAGGAGCCGCCAGCCAGATTGCGGGGCTCCCTCTGCCAGTGCGCGCCCTGCGGTCACTGACCAAGCCCTCCCGGAAAAGTGTCAGGCCTGTGCCCTAGCAGCCTCAGCGATAACTTCCTAAACCATACCCAAAAGGGGAAAAGAGCAGGCCTTTTCCCCCTATTGGTTCCAAGCTCCCTTCCCCCACGGAGGGTGGTGTGGCCGTGCGGAGGCAGGCAGGCCTGGGTGTCAGACCAGATTTAACAGAGGCAGGAGAAACCAGGAAGGAGGGCTGCCCGCAGAGGGGAGCCATTCCCCAAGAGCCCATGGGCGGGGCGGTCTCCAGCGTGAAGGCTGACCTGGGGGACTTCTGACCACCTCGGGCTCCCCTGCTGGGTCTTGTCTTCCCTCTGGGTCTCTGGGACTGGAGTGCTTTGCTAAGCCAAGGAACTGTCACAGGGTCTGGGCTGTGGGGACAGTGTGCTGTGGGAGCCTGGGCATGCGCTCTTTGCTCTGGGAATTACAGACTGTGTGAGAACAACCCCGGGGGCTGGACTGAGTGCCGGTGACACCTCCTACGAGGGCCTCGTGTGAGGACCACCATTTGCCGTGTGTTGTTAATACTCTGTTCCCCGCCTGGGCAATGTTGCTTGGAAGAACATGGCCATGAAACCCGCTGGGGTACCCCTAATACCTCATGAAAAAAGCAGACCGCTGGGCAGTCAGACAGACAGAACGGGCAGTCCGAATGTCCACAGGTCGGGAGCTCTCAGCCCAGCAGGGGCCTGGTAGTCTGGGAGGTGGGGGGCTGGGAGAGGGGGTGAGCCCCCCAGGCCTGGGAGAGAAGTCCACACAGATGAAAGAAAGGGGAAAGTGAGAGGCCCCCCGAGACCCTCCGGGCTCCCCCAGGGAAGCCCGGGCAAGCAGGAAGCGGAGGGGCTTTAGTAAGACTGGGTCATATGTTTCCCAGGGGCTTTTCCAGGGCCAGCTTGTTAGTTTCTCCCCAGTTCCGCTCTCTCCCACCCCACTCCACCCCACCTTTCTTCCCCTGTCCCAAAGCCTCAGGGCAGTGTGAAATTCACTTGTCAGACCCTGCCCCTGGAGAGGATGAAGGGGGGGTCTGTGGTACAGCTTTAGGGATGGCTTTGAATGTGGATGACACCCACACTTTTTTTTTAAGGTTTTATTTTATTTATTTGAAAGGCAGAGTTACAGAGAGGGAGAGACAGAGAGAGAGGTCTTCCATCTGCTGGTTCACTCCCCAGATGGCTGCAATGGCTGGAGCTGGGCTGATCTGAAGCCAGGAGCCAGGAGCTTCTTCCAGGTCTCCCACGTGGGTGCAGGGGCCCAAGGACTTGGGCCATCTTCCACTGCTTTCCCAGGCCACAGCAGAGAGCTGGATCGGAAAGTGGAGCAGCCGGGACTCGAACTGGCGCCCATATAGGATGCTGGTGCTGCAGGTGGTGGTATTACCTGCTATGCCACAGCACTGACCCCTGCCCACACTTGTTTAAAATTTTTTGTTTGAAGTTCTGGGAAGAGCAGTGCAGTGAAACCCGTCTGCCCCTCAGTTAGAGGTACCCATGGTTAGCAATTGCCACACTTGGCTTTCTCTGTCTCTGCAGAAACATATGTACACATACACTGAAAGTTAGCGCATCATGTCACGTGGCTCAAAAGGTTTCTGCACACGTCTCCTAGAAATGAGGATATTCGCCTGCAAAACTGCAGTGCCCTTGGCACGCCCAGGCTGATACCAGGATGCCCTCGCACGCATCCGCAGTCACAGCTCCCTTGTTGGCCTGGATAGCTCTTTGTACTGATGGCCTTATAAACCGGGCTGGAGCACTGGTTCCTTGTCCTGGTCAGGGTTTTTGCAGAGCAGGCGTTGGAGAGATGCTTGCATTTCCTGGCTTCCCTGGCTTCAGTCTGGGGCCTGAGTTGGAGGGAGACAAGCAGGGGTGGGAAAGGCTGGGTGGTCCCCAGGGAGGTGAGCAGAAGCAGGGGGCTCTGACCTCAGTTTGGCTTCAAACCAGATCCAGACCAAGACGGTGGCCCAGTGCGTGGAGTTCTACTACACCTACAAGAAACAGGTGAAAATCGGCCGCAACGGGGCTCTCACCTTCGGGGATGTGGATACAAGCGACGAGAAGTCTGCGCAGGAGGAGGTGGAAGTGGATCTTAAGGTGATTCCTTTCCCGGCCTTGGCTGCCCAGGGCCTGGCTGGATCTGGGGCCGGGCCCTCTAGCAGTCGGCAGAAGGCAGGAACCCTGACGGTCCCCAGGAGCTGAGGTCCCGGGCCTGGGCCTTTGCGGTCCCCTCTCAGGTGGCACCGTAATCACACGTGGTGCTGACCATGGGAGGATTTCCCACAGTATTTGCAGCTGTACTGCCTTATCATCTCATCCCGACGTCTGCAACTGTGTTCCCAACCTCAGCCTCCCTGGCATGGCCTTTGTGGTTTCTGTTCTGTCTGCACACACCGCGTGGCACCGTTGCCATCTTTGTCATGTCCACACACCAGTCGGGCTATCTTCCCTTACTGTGCTTTAAGCCGGGTCGTTTTTTTTTTTTTACTCACATAAAAGGGAAGTTTTGTATCACGATCGTAATTAGTAGAAGGTCCCGGGCAAGATAATTATATGTGACAACCAGATAAGCAGCACTGAGTTACAGCTAGGTACTGTGTTACCTGCCAGGGCCGTAAGACGGAGGCCTGACCGCTCTTTGTTAGTGATGATCAAATCTGGAGAAGTGTCAAAGACACGTTAATAGCAGCCCGAGACTGTCCTAGACACAGGACCTAGAGGGAATTAGAAAGGGAATGCCGCTCTTTGTTAGTGATGATCAAATCTGGAGAAGTGTCAAAGACACGTTAATAGCAGCCCGAGACTGTCCTAGACACAGGACCTAGAGGGAATTGGAAAGGGAATGATTCTGTGTCCGTGTGTCCGCCTGACGTCATGTCAGGGCCAGGAGTCCACACCTGGGGACGTGCTGCCCCAAGGCCCTGGTTAGCCCCCATTTTGCAGATGGGAAAGGCGTGGGAATACAGAAAGCGTTACAGGGTCAGTTTGGGGTTGGAACTAGAGGCTTGTCCTCAGCTCCCCACATCACGCCACCGAGGTGGCTTATGGGGAGGGACTGGCGTGTTCCCTCCCTGTGCCGGGCTCTGTTTCAAGTGCTCAGCCTCATGCTGGAGACTCCAGGGCTCAAGATTCTGCGGCCCCTGGCAGCCGGGCCCCGGGCGGGCCGTGCCGGGCCGGCAGGGCTGGGTCAGAGCTGGGAGCAGGTGACTGGGCTCCATGCTCACCGCCCTCCTTCTCACCTCCGTAGACATCCCAGAAGTTCCCAAGGGTGCCTCCTCCCAGAAGAGAGTCCCCAGGTGAAGAGAGGCTGGAGCCCAAGAGGGAGCTGAAGGAGCCCGGGAAGGAGGGGGAGGAAGAGGTGCCAGAGATCCAGGACAAGGGGGAACAGGAGGAGGGGCGAGAGCGCAGCCGGCGGGCAGCGGCTGTCAAAGCCACACAGACACTACAGGCCAATGAGTCGGTAAGTGTGACCAGGGACTTCCTCTCGCTGGGCCTGGGACTGCAGCTGGGCCTGGGGGCGTGGGAGGGGGGGCAGAGCAGGAGGTGCCCAGAGCACTTTATGCTGTGTGGGAGGCCCAGGATAGCACAGCTGGCAGGTAGCCTGAGTCTATTACTATTGCTATTACTATTGCTATTGCTATTACTTTCTACACTACACTGCTTTGGCTCTGAGAGTCAGCGGGAAAAGGCCTTCCTTGTGAGTAAGCCCAGCAGGTATGTGATGGGCTGGGGCCGCATGCGTGAGTTGTAGCTCAGATGGGGCTCCCCCTGTAAGAGAGCTTGGTCCCTGATGAAGGGTCTGGAACAGCTGAGACGATGGCGGTGACAAAAATGGGTCCTCACACAAGTTCCCATCCGGTGCCTTCACTTCCATTACCTCAAGGGTTGATCCCCACTCTGCAGCGCTCATACCCCCCGGTCCTTTGATTCCCAGGGGTGCTCTGTGGGCCCACGAGGGGTAGGGCTGGGAAGGGGTCGGGGTGGGGAGCCATTCGCTTCCTCAGAAGCTGTGCCTGCACCTGGCGCTATAGCGGGGTCTACGCCCTCGGTGGGGTCCCCCGACTTTGTGAGCACTTTGCTGGGAGGCTCGGCCCAGGGCACAGCCGCAGTCACTGCTGAGGGAACCTCTGGGGCTCCTCCAACCCCGGTTCCCCGGGCCGCGCCTCCTCCAGGTGTGCACCTGGCGTCCTCGGCTCTCCCACTGTGGTCAGCGGTTCCCACGCTGTGCACTGGCCGGCGCCAGCATCCTGCACACGCGCTCCTGTGTGGCAGCTTGTTTCCCCAGAGACAGTGGGCTCCTCTCAGTGGCCTGAGTCCCATTCATGGCATAGGTGCAGACGCATCCCATGAGTCCCGTGCGCGCCGGGACTGTCCCACCAGCAAGTCCTTGAGCGCCAGCGCTGACCAGGGCGCCGGGCTTCCGAGGGGGCAGGGGGGCTCTGTCACAGGGAGATCGCCCTTTGGGGACCCTGTGTCCCCGGGAGGCCACGGGGAGGGATCTGCCCTCCCCGGAGGACTCAGCTCTCCTTGTTTCCTCCTCTCCAGGCCAACGACATCCTCATTCTCCGGAGCCACGAGTCCAACGCCCCCGGCCCTGCCGGCGCTCAGGCCCCAGAGAAGCCAAGGGAGGGCGCCGGGAAGTCACGGAGGGCACTGCCTTTTTCGGAGAAGAAGAAGAAAACAGAGGCGTTTAATAAGACCCAGAATCAGGAGAACACTTTCCCTTGTAAAAAATGTGGCAGGTGAGGACACAGACCCTACGGGGACGGCGCAGGGTGGGAGCGGCAGGGGCGGGGGAGGCGGGGGGGGGGGCCCGGAGCGTCCGCCTTGCCTTCTGATTGGCTCCTCGCGTTTCTAGGGCGGTGACGTCACCGGGCAGCTTGCGGGAGGTGGGTGGTGGGTGCCCGCGCGTGCGCAGTGGGTCTCCCGGCGGTGGCGCCCGGCTCTGACCGGAGCCCCTCCGTTCCGGGCGGCCGCAGGGTGTTCTACAAGGTGAAGAGCCGCAGCGCGCACATGAAGAGCCACGCGGAGCAGGAGAAGAAGGCGGCGGCGCTGAGGCAGAAGGAGAAGGAGGCCGCGGCGGCCGCCGCCGCTGCCGCCGCCGCCCCGCACCAGCCGGCGCTGCGCGAGGAGAGCGGCGCGGGGGAGAAGGGCTGAGCCGCAGCCGGGCCCTCGAGGGGGAGTGCAGAGAGAGCCCCGTGGACCTGCCTCTGCCAAACCAATAAGACAGTGAAATAAACGGCTCTTTTATTTATAAAGGCCCAGGAGCAGTGTTAAGGGCTGCAGGATCCAGTTCTCTTCGCATCCGGTCTGTCGGGGCCGGCTCCCGCCGCTTCCCTCCGGCGCCTGCCGGAGCCGCCGTGGCCGCCAAGCACAAGTCCACCCGCTGCAGCGTTGTTCCCCCCCCCCCGGAGGCTGCCGGCGGCCGGCCCTGTTCTGTCCCCGCCGGGGCCCAGGCCCGCGGCCTCCCGGAGGCTGCCCCCCACCCCCGGCCGGGGACTGTCCCCTGGCTGCTCGCCTGGCCGGCTCTGTGCCTGTTCCAGGGAAGGGAGCTGCGGGGCAGGGCCTGAGCTGGGGATAACCCCCCCCCCCCCCCATTTGCCAAACACTGGGCCCGGGAGGCCGCCTCGGAGCTTAGCCTCGAACTGCTCCTCGGTGCCAGCTCCCTGCTCGCCTCTGCCCTGCCCTCAGCAGCTGCCGCCTGATGCCCCCGCCCCATGCCACCCGCAGCCCTGCACGCTGGCGATCTCTGGATCCTTCTCTGGGAGGGGGAGGTCTCCTAACTAGATTGGACAGGAGCCTTCATTCCTTGACTCGTGTCATTTGGGAGCTATTTATTTATTCTTTAATATTTAATTTCTAACATCCTCTCAGGGACCAGGGGCCTCCTGCTTTCAGAGGCCCACGTGCATTTAGCCAAAAACGAGGCACCTTGGCACCCCCAGCCCACCCTACCCCCCCCCCCCCCCAGTTCCCGGACCTTGTTGCTGGGGGAAGCTCTCGCCAATAGGGTTGACGGTAGCACTGAGAGACAGCGGGAAGCTGGGTGTCAGGCACACGGAGACTAGCAGGGGCGGGGGATCCCAGGCAGTTCTTACTGCTGCCTCCAGGGAGTTGGCAGGCGGCCAGGATTCCGGTTGTGTTGATCAGGCCTGGATTCTGGCTTCCATATTCGGCAGGGAATCGCTCAACTGAAAGGGCCAGAGTGTTCTGGAAGCCCCTGTACTTGCCAGTCCCATGGAAGAGCTGTTGTGTTTCAGATCTTGTTACTCAACTTGAGTTGCACAAGAAATTCTAAGTGAATGCGTCTGGAACAGGTCAGCATGTCAGGAAGGAGCCGAGAAGTCTTCATTCTGCTGCTCCCCGGGAGCTGGGCTGAAAGGTATCTGTGGTAACTGGGAGCGGAAAGGGAGTTGTATTTTTAAACTATGCACTCTTAGGTATTTTTCAGCGTTCATTTATGCATTAATGTGGTTCTGCAGGATCCCAGCTATGGGAGAGACCAGTTTCTTTTCCTCCCAGCCTCCCCCATCACCTTCAGAGGAGAAGCTCTAGGTCCCAAGACAGCGAACACGTGGTGTGCCCTGCAGACACAGGAGGGTAGCAACTTCAGGCTCTCTTCTAAATCCTTGTGTAATATGAGTGCCTTCACAGCTTAGCCCCAAAGTGCTGCTTAGGTTGCCCGAGGTTTTTTCTATTTAAACCCTATTTGGTTTCAGGCCCCTTTATGGACATGTGGTAACAGAAGCCTCCTCCAGTCACCTGGGACCCTTCTGCTCAGTGGTAGCATTCAGGACTTGGATATCTTTTTAAATAAGAAAGTGATTCTACCCTAAGCTCACAGAGACCAGACCAGGTGAACGTAGCCGGGGACCTGACTGTGAATCCCGACAGACACCGGATTTGAGGGGCTGATGCTCCAGGATGCATTTGTTCCTCAGATGCGGTGGGGAAGGAAGCTGTTTCGGGGGCAGATGCGACCTGCCAGTAGCGTAGGTGCAGCCATAGAGGCTGGCAGAGGCGATCCTTAACGGTGCTTTCTTCTCCCTGGGAACACCCTAGGCTTGTCTTCTGTTGCTTTCCCTCCTATTCCGAGCTCTTTGCTGTAAGAAGTTAGACGAGAGACACCTCTAGCTTTGTAATCTCCCCACGCCGCCTCCCCATATCCATCTCCCAGTGTCCACCTGCCGTCAGCCACCGGCGTGACACTGCCCTAGTGCCTGTGTTCTGGACCGTCTCTGAGGTCTCTCTCCCATCCGAGGAGACGGTGACATCGCTCTGTCCTCCATGCCTTCGGCAGCGCCCCTCACCGCTGAGGCACACACTCGCCCCTCTGCCGCCGCACCTCCGCCCAGGCACGGAGGCTCGTGCTGCTCACGGCCAAAGGAACTGCCCATACTTAACTGCCTCAGTGACCTGATCTCTCATGTGCCAGATGCCTAGATGAAGAAGGAACACAACACATCCCGAAGCCTCGGCTGTTTAGCACCCTCTCCACGGGGGCCCGCTTTTCTGGACAGTATTTATTACTAGACTGGCAAGCCTGACTCCTTTAGGTTTACAGGAAGTGTGCATATTTTTATAAAACAAGTGTCCTCCCCCCCCCCCATTTTGCTGTGTTACTGTTTGCCTCTAACGATTTGCAGCTGTTTCTGTTTCACCTTTTACTCATTTGTCTCCAAGTTGAAGGCCTTGTAGGAGGGGACAGCCTTGACAGTCTGTAATTATTGTACAAATATTTTAATAGCATATAAAGAAGTATATTCCTTTTATTTTGAAACAGATGATCAGACACTGCCTTTTGTGTGTTTGCTGCCTGTGGCAACCTTTTTTAAAAAAGACTGTTACATATGAAAATGGTGTACATATATATAAATATATAAATATTACCTCTTTGGCTGTACAGTTGTGATAGAGCAGATGGAAGATTTTATTTTTTGTGTGCTTTTTATATAAAAATTAATACACTAAAGAGAATCTTGCTGATGTGATTGTAATGTACCTATGTAACTTATTTACTTTTGAATGTTCTTCTGTATCTTTAAACCTTTCATTAAATAAGGTTTTAAAAATTCAGAGTTGGATGCTGTGTTCTTTTGGGGGATTTTCATCCTCTGAGATTGACCGAAGCGGCCCTTGCTCTGGCTTGAAGAGTACCCGAGGCAGGGATTACAGAATACTGGTGCGTTGCCAGCTGTAGGTAGGTAGGTGGCCGGCCTTTTGACTAAGTGTTAGATAAGAGGAAGTGGCCGGCGCCGCGGCTCACTAGGCTAATCCTCCGCCTAGCGGCGCCGGCACACCGGGTTCTAGTCCCGGTTGGGGCGCCGGATTCTGTCCCGGTTGCCCCTCTTCCAGGCCAGCTCTCTGCTGTGGCCAGGGAGTGCAGTGGAGGATGGCCCAGGTGCTTGGGCCCTGCACCCCATGGGAGACCAGGAAAAGCACCTGGCTCCTGGCTCCTGCCATCGGATCAGCGCGGTGCGCCGGCCGCAGCGCACCGGCCATTGGAGGGTGAACCAACGGCAAAGGAAGACCTTTCTCTCTGTCTCTCTCTCTCACTGTCCACTCTGCCTGTCAAAAAAAAAAAAAAAAAAAAAAATTAGAAAAAAAAAAAAGATAAGAGGAAGTGTCCAGTCTGTGTGTCACACAAGTGGGATACTTGGGAGCCTTCGTTTCCTCTGGATGAGATGCCGTCCACGCACCTGGCTTGATGCGCCAGTTGCATGAGCAAGTCAGCCACCACGGGTGATACCCACTAGTATCTGAAATCCGCTCCGGATTAGAAGACAGAAGCCCTCAATGCTTATTGGTATTTTTTTTTCATTGTAAAAGTCTGGAACATCTGATGGCTGCGGTACCATGGCAACCGCTCCCCCCACCCCGCGCCGCTGCGCACGGAGTCTTCAGGAGCGCGTCGTCCGGGACACCGTTGCCATGGTCACGCGCGCGCGCCTCGCCGGCGACCTGGATCCGGTGTGGCGGCCGCGGCTCGCGGGCCGGCCCCGCCCTGCACTGCAGCGGGAACGCGCCGGCTGCCGAGCTGCGCCACAGGCGCCGCAGCCCGTCGCGCCACGCGAGCCCGGCCGGCCCCACCAGCCTTCGCCTCCCGCCTCGCTTCTGCATCCTTCCTGCGTCTTTGCTCCCCTCAGCCCTCGGTTTTCAGCGGTCCTCGCTGTCCGGAGGGGTCCCCGCGCCCGAGAAGAAGCCGCTGCTCGCCGGCTGGCCCGGCTGCCGCCGCGGAGACCTCGGACAGCCTCTCCCGCCGGGCCCGGCACGCCGAGCGCTCCTTCGGGCGGCCGCTCCTCGCCCCGCTGAGGGCCGGGCTCGGACCGCCAGCGCCGGGGCGACTCCGGGAGCGGCGGCCACGCCCCGCGGCCACACCCCGGCGCTCCCGGGCCCCGCGGCTCCCGCAGGCTGCACTCTGGGGCCGCAGACCCCGACCCGGGACGCGAGATGGCGACAGCCGCGTGACTGACTGAGCCCCTGCGAGGCCGCGCCGGGGAGCCGCAGACGGACAGCGGGGCTTTGGTGTCGCTTGTTACCAGCGACCGCGGGGACCTGCCGCCCGCGCGCCTGCTTGCGGGGAGTGTCTGGTGTTGGTTGGAGTTCGGGGAGCCGCAGTCTGATCCGTATCTGTCGAATCGGTACCTTTGATAGTTGGGAACATGGCGATGACGCTGTTGGAAGATTGGTGCAGGGGCATGGACGTGAACTCCCAGAGAGCGCTGCTGGTTTGGGGGATCCCAGTGAACTGTGATGAGGCTGAAATCGAAGAGACCCTCCAGGCTGCGATGCCCCAGGTGCCGTATCGAGTGCTTGGGAGAATGTTCTGGAGGGAAGAGAACGCGAAAGCAGCCTTATTAGAGCTCACTGGCGCTGTGGATTACGCCGCGATCCCCAGGGAGATGCCTGGCAAAGGAGGGGTGTGGAAAGTGCTTTTTAAGCCCCCCACGTCTGACGCTGAATTTTTAGAAAGGCTGCACCTCTTCCTAGCTCGGGAGGGGTGGACCGTGCAAGATGTTGCCCGCGTCCTTGGGTTTCAGAACCCGGCCCCGGCCCAGGGCCCCGAAATGCCAGCCGAGATGCTCAGCTATATTTTGGATAATGTTATTCAGCCTCTCGTGGAGTCCATATGGTACAAGAAGCTGACGCTGTTCTCGGGGAGGGACATCCCGGGGCCTGGGGAGGAGAGCTTTGACTGCTGGCTGGAGCACGCTAATGAAGTCATAGAGGAGTGGCAGGTGTCCGACACAGAAAAGAGGCGGCGGCTGATGGAGAGCCTCCGGGGCCCCGCCGCCGACGTCATCCGCATCCTCAAGACCAGCAACCCCGCGATCACCACCGGCGAGTGCCTGAAGGCGCTGGAGCAGGTGTTCGGGAGCGTGGAGAGCTCTAGGGATGCGCAGGTCAGGTTTCTGAACACGTACCAGAACCCGGGAGAGAAGTTGTCGGCTTACGTCATTCGTCTGGAGCCGCTGCTGCAGAAGGTGGTGGAGAAGGGGGCCATTGATAAAGAGAACGTGAACCAGGCCCGCCTGGAGCAGGTCATCGCCGGGGCCAACCACAGCGGGACCCTCCGAAGGCAGCTCTGGCTGACCGGCGCTGCGGAAGGGCCGGCCCCGAACCTCTTCCAGCTGCTGGTGCAGATCCGTGAGGAGGAGGCCAAGGAGGAGGAGGAGGAGGCTGAGGCCGCGCTCCTGCAGTTGGGCCTGGAGGGGCACTTCTGAGCCCCAGGAAAGAGGGCTGCCGTGCAGACCCGGCCCGCAGCTGCTGTCCTGGTCCCGAGTAGTAAAGGCCTAGCTGCCTGCTGTTTTCGTTGTGTTTTTCTTGGAGGGAGGGGGTTCTGGCCTGCCCGTTCCTGTAACTCCGCCGACACTGCACAGAGCATGGGGAGCTGCTACAATGCCGATGGGCTTGCTGGCTGCGGCGCCCGCTGTCGCCATGCCGGCACCCTCGGCTGTGACAAGTGTGAACCGGTGACTTCCCGTGGAGATCAATGTGAAGTCGCACGTGCAGATGTTTAGCCCAGGGCCTGGCTCGCAGGAACCGTGAACCATCACATTGTTATCAGCGTCGAGGCTAGTGTGTGTTGACTGTAAATCATTCCGTGTTTATATTAATGGAAAGAAACGTGCATTGTTTAGGTAATACTGCTCAGCCTCACAGTGCAAATCTCTTAGTGCTCATCTTTAAAGAGCCGGATCTGTGGAACAGAGTGTTCTGAGACTCCAGCTGGGGCGCTGGAAAAGGACTGCAGTTCCGGAGCTGTGCTGATCAGAGGTCGCGCAGAGAAACCACCTGGGGAGATGGCTAGGACCCGGTGACAGTGACCCACCCATCCCCCCACTCCCCTTCCAGTCCTTGTCAAAATAGTTCTTGTTCACCCAGATTTTAAATGTTCTACATTTGAACTTATCAAATAGATGTATAAGAATAAAAATATTTTAAAAACTATCGCTGTCTAGTTTTTCCAACATATTTAACATTTTTCAGTGTAATTAAACTGTTTTCTTTTTTCTTAGAAAAACTTTCCCCCATATCATAAAAAAGAACCTTTTACTTAAAAAAAAATAGTGAGATGGAGCGCTCCCACAATGTGTGTGTATTAATGTATCCAATATTTATGTGTTCTTCAAGGCTAATGTTAGGCTATAAACAGACATATAAGTACAATATTAACTTACTAAAAATTTTTAGAAAATCCTAAAAAAGGCTCAGGAGATAATCTAGAAATAGTTGTTTTTCCCTTCCCTTTTTATATTTTTTAGCTAAAAAATTTTGCTTCACTGAAGAAGTGGAGCCATTTTATATCAACATATAAAAGGGAAACACAGCTTAAGGTCATGTGCACTTGGCTGCAGATGTCAGTGACAAGATGACCATCCACCGAGACCCTCAGTAACCCCAGTGGTTGCAGCCATGTTAAGAGTTCAGTGGAGTGTTCCCCCAATAACGTTTAAAATGACCACTGACTCATCTAACAATCACACAGTACATAATTTGTACTTTAGACTGCTATTAGTACATATTCTTCCAGATTTTTCTGTACTCACTCGTGTCCTCACCTCCCTCACAACCATCTCCACATGCTTGCCTCCCTCCCCACCACCAACAGACAAACCTTTTCACAACCCCAACCCCCAACAGGTACCACTCCTGGGCCCCTGCCCAACTGGCGGCTACACTGACAGCTTCCCCTCCCTCCCACGGGCGGGCAGCGGGAGTGCATACACTCCCCCACTCCTGTCTGCATGCATTCTCTCACTGCCCCTGCCAATACTCCATCATAAACACTCCCTCCTTTCAAACACAGGGGCACCATGCCAGTCTCCCACCCCAACACACATTCAGGTTCTCACACACATGCACACACACCCTTGAACAGCCAGCACACATGTACACACCACACACACATGCACACATACATTGCATTCTTAAAAGCTAGTTTTTTTCAATACATGCCAAGTTGATTGCTTCCTGGGAGGGAAGGTCATCACCTAGGAGTTTATTTAATTTCATAACAATTGTACCAGTTTGCATTAGGTATGGGAATACTTCAAAAGTTCATGGGAAATGGAATTAAAAGGTTAATTTTGGTGTAACTTTGCTTTAATCCTTGCATAGGAAGACCCTTCAAGAAATTCATGAAAAATGGGTAGGATGAAAAAATGTGCATGGATTTCGAAAATTTTTTGCACTAAAGTAAATGTGTCTTTTAATTCCATTTTTCCATGAACTGTCTCAAGCACCCTTGTATATGAAGTTTAAAAATACTGGGGTGGGCATTTATCATAGCAGTTAAGATGCTACCTGGGGTGTCCGCATCTCATCAGAGTTCCTGGGTTCAAGTCCAAGCTCCATTTTTTAAAAATTTATTTATTTATTTGAAAGTTAGGGCTACACAGAGAGAGAAGGAGAGACAGAGAGAGAGAGAGAGAGAGAGGTCTTCCATCTGCTGATTCACTCCCCAGATGGCTCAGAAATGTAAATTTTCTGCTTCTTAAGGAAGGACAGCAGCAAAAAACTTTATCCTCATCATTAAAGAACTTCAGGAAAGAAGCAGAAACAGCACTACCGTTGCATTCTGTGGCCAACACTACACCGTGGCTGACAGTACAGAACGCGTGCTAGCGGAATGTGTAACACTGCTGACGCTGCCGGATGCTCTGTGTCTCCGCTCCCGGTCCTGTCAGCTGATCTCTACCGGGGAGCTTCTGGCTGAAGGCGAGGACAAGGGCAGGGCAGGTGCAGCGGCTCCTGCCACCCCCACGCCTTCCCTCCAGAGTGTGATGTGAAGTGGTGCCCAGACAAGTTCTGAGAGATTTACAGAGCTTGGAGAGGAGATAATGTTTGGTAATAAAGTACTGAAAAAATAGCATAAATAAATGAGTCTCTCTCTGACATACAAGTAGGATTCGCGCATCATTGAAAGTTGACATGGTTGCTCTGTATTAGATAAAATTAATGATTGTGTAATCAAAAAAGACACAACTTCATTTTTTATAAAATAACACAATTTATTACTTTTTCAAACAAATCTCACAAAATAACACTCAGAAACTCAACATTTCTAAATAATTTAACACACAATAAGTTTAGCCATAATGTCATGCTACAAAATTCCTGTGTATAAAAGATTATTACCAAAGTATTAATAGATGCTAAAGTGTCCTTCAGAACGGAGTTGGTTCCAGAAGCCAAACATCCTGGAATGCTGCTTGTGATCACCACCAACACCTGGGAGAAGTAGCTGGGCAGGTGCATATTCCCTCTGGCTTCCAACTCACAGGTGTCTGGATGGGATTGCCCCCTCACCACCCATACAATTTAATTCAGCCAACATCTACATTAGTTCTTTAAATTTAGACTTGGGAATGATAACTCATAAAGTTTTTATTTTCAGTACAACTACATGACCACATCCCTCGGAGGGATACTCTTGGAGGTGGCAGACATGGAAGATGACCCATGTAGGGAAACAGGTATATCCTGGCTCTGATGACGCCCATGTCAGCAACTGCTCATGTAGGCACAGGACAAGCAAGAGAGGTCTGATTCTAACACGCATGCACAGGGTAGGCATTTAGTCATCTGCCCTTTGGAAGTACTTCCCACCAACATCCAGTTCATAATTTTAAAGTGCAAATCTACTGAAAATAGTTTACTATCCCTGTTCCCTTGTTAACCTGGCTAGATCATAATTTGGAGGCTAGTTCCCCTCTAACCTGCCCAATATGGGAAATCACCTAGAATCCAGTTATGATCTCTATAAGGATTACATGAAAAGTTTTACCAATATATTTTAGGTTAGAAAAGCTAAGACTCGGTCTAGTTTTCCCTTTCAGTACTGTTCTTTGCAGTCACTGAGTTATAAAAAAAAGTAGGAATAAAGATATGGATATGGTATCTCTAAAAGTTCAGGGATGCAGCAGGCACTGAGCCTGGTAGACAAGCCACTGGCTCAGACACCTGTGTCCCACATCAGGAACACCTGGGTTTCATTCCAGGCTCTGGCTCCTGACTCCAGCTTCCCATAGCTGCAGACCCTGAAGGGCAGCAGTGATGGCTTCCCACAGGGAAGGAGAACTGGACTGAGCTCCCCAGCTCCTGGCTGACCAGCCCTGGCCACGGCAGGCATCTGGGGGATGAATCAGCAGACGGGAGCTATCTGTCTACCTGTGTTTCTTTTTCTGTCTCTCTGCCTCTCAAATAAAAAAGGTAAACATTTTTAAAAGTTCAATGATTTTTAAACATAACCCTTGATTTAAAAATTATGCCTACTTTATAGTTCTACAAAAAAGAGAAGGGTTCAACACACGCTGGAGCTAGACACAGGAAAGCGGGTCGGCTGTGCCTGCAGCGGCACCAGCTCTGCTACTCTGACTCCTGTTTTAGATCCCATTATTTCCAGCCACATTAAACAGCCCGAATAAAGAGAATCCGTGCCAAGGAATGGACTCCTTGTAAAGGATAACTTGTAGCTTAGCGGTTTTGTCCTTTTGCCAATACTTGAGAGGTGTGATGTCTTCGAGAACCGATTCGGCTGCCGTCAGAGAGCCACTCAAGACTCAGGACAGAGCCTGCGGCACTTCCCTCAGGCTTGTTAAATGACTGAATAAACCCAAGCTGTCTAGGCCTTCTACTTTCCCGATTTAGCCCAAAGAAAAACCCAGGCACAGGATTCCCGCTCCTACACATCATCGACTCTGAGAATGGGCCAAAAGGCAAGGTTCCCTCCTCGTCCTCCTTCAGACCCCTGGTGAAAGGCGGCAGGGGGGACCTGCTCAGATCCACATTCCTCTTCCCACACTGGAACCAAACCTCAGCATCTTACACAGCCCTCGTACGCGGAACAGATCCAGTGGCCACACCAAGCAGACAAGCAAACGTTCTGTCGATCACACCCAAAACTGACGTCCACACCAACTTTTTTACACAACTACCAAATCTTAGACGGTAGTTTTCTGTACCTAATCACTGCTGTCTGCAAAATTCTGTGATTAGACAACAAATGACAAAGAATGATGACCCATTGTCTAAAAAATACTCAAAACAAACTTCATAGACAAGGCAAAATCTACCACAAAGCTGGAGTCTGTGCACAGTAGCAGAGAGGTAGGTTAATACTCACTGTCCTAAGATGAGCAAGCACGCTAGGAAACAGAGTGGAGAGCCTGCTGTCGGCGAACCTTCCAGCCTGAGTTTCTGATATGAAGTGAAAACTATGAAAATAAGCATTACAGAACAGAGAAGTGCCAGCGGCCATTTCCTTCCTTCCACGATCACTAGACACAGCACCTCCTCTCATACTAACAGCTTAAGGGGCCATGGTCACAGTGGGGAAGTAAGGAGACCCTGGAGGAAAGGAATGTTGGTGTGAAGAGTGTGGGTTCTTAGCCAGAGGGTCACTCGTGCCCACTCCCTGGCCCCAGGAGGCAGCGGGCAATGTCTGCCGGGAAGGGGTGCCCTGGCATGTAGCAGGCTGAGGCTGGGGGCATGCTAAACGCCCCACAGTACACGGGAGCCCCTCCCTGCTCCAAACAGGGAACTACCCAAGCCCAAATGTTAACAGTGCTAAGGCTGAGCATCTCTGGTCTAAAGGAACAACTCTTCTTAACAGAGAACATAAAAACCTTCCAAGGCCTGCTTAGGTACCACAGCCACAGCTGAGTCAGGGAACACAGAAAAGCTGAACTCCTTGTGGACTAAAATTTGCTGTAGAAAAATTAAAATATTGGACTGGTTCTAGAGCTCCACCATCAGTTATGAGAACAGAAGTCAGAAATTTAAATGACCCACTAAAATAGCTTAACGCTTTTAAACTAGGAGCACAGTGCAAATCTATTCCATGTGGGTCAAATATCTAATGCAAGAGGCATAAACCACAGGCATTTACCATGAGCTAAATCTGCAGCAGCAGAGGACGACTGAAGGAATGACGCGAGCAGATCCTG